TGAGGCGGGGGCGGAAGGGGTGGGGGGCTGGCAGCCAGTCAACCAGTCAAGCCCCAGCTGGCACCGCCCAGTTTTTCCCTGGATCGTGGAAGGGGAGGGGGCTGCTGGCTCCGCAGGCTCCAGAGGTACCTGAGCCCCCAGCCCTGTGGACTGAGGACAGCATGGGCCCCAAGGCTGAAGGGCTGACCCCACCAACAGGGGCTGGGGGATGTCACTGAGAGAGAAGCCACTTTCTCTGCCCTGGGCCTTCTAAAAGCTTCACCTCCCTGACCAGCCCTTGCTCTCACCTCCCATGGAGCGACCTAGGCTCACGGAGGCCTGAGCTTCACCGCCTGCCTCCCTGATCCCTTAGGGTCCCCTGGCCTTGACCCTCTGAGAGATTGATTTTCTCCCCCCCCCAACCCCCCGTCTCTCCTCTGCTTAGCCTGGTTGAGGCAGGAAGAGGACAAGAGAGTAGGGATGTAAGGAGGAGGCCGTGGGGCCAAGGAAGGGCAAAGCAGGGACAGGCCTAAGTGGGAAAGGCAGGTGACAATTCAACTGCCCCCAGCTCTTTTGCCAGATAGCAGGTCCCTCCACTCGTACTTTTTTGTCCAGTGTAGCTCTGAGTGTGTGTGTGTGTGTATTGGTTTCAGAGAGGGAGAGGGAGAGATAGAAACATCAATGATGAGAGAGAATCATTGATTGGCTGCCTCCTGCACACCCCACACTGAGGACCAAGCCCACAACCTAGGCACGTGCACAGACTAGGAATCGAACCGTGACCTCCTGGTTCATAGGTCAACACTCAACCACTGAGCTACACCAGCTGGCCTGACAGTGTCTTCTGTCAGGGCAAATCCCACTCTCCTCTTGGGTGTGGCCCAGGGACCGTGATCTGGGTTCCAGCTGTTCCAGTGCTTGTGGCTGGGCGCCATCAGCTCACCTGGAACCCCTGCGCCCCACAGGAAGCTGGAGACCCTCGACCTGTCCCACAACCGACTCGTGCACGTCCCCTCCTTCCTGCCACGGGGCCTCCGGCGCCTGCTGCTGCACCACAACCACATTGAGCGCATCCCTGGCTACGTGTTTGCACACATGAAGCCAGGCCTGGAGTTCCTGCACCTGTCCTACAACAGCCTGCGCGCCGACGGCATCCACGACGTGTCCTTCTGGGGCCTGCGCACCTCCCTGGCAGAACTGCTCCTGGATCACAACCAGCTGCAGGCCATCCCGCGAGGCCTGCTGGGCCTCAAGGGGCTGCAGGTGCTGCGTCTGAGCTACAACAAGATCAGGTAGGGCTGCCCACCTGCGCCTATCCTGCTGTCTCCCCGCTCCCCGCTCCGGCCAGGGCTGAGCCATCAGGCCCTGCCTGCAAGGTGGGCTGGGGAGGGCTGGCCTGTGGGCCCTGTGGCCTCAGAGGCTGAGGGTGGGGCTGTGGGGGAATCCTTTACACACCCCCAGGTGGAGGGCAGCATCCAGCAGAATCTGGGCAGGGGGTGGGCAAAGGGCAGGTAGGACAGCTCCAGTCCAGAGCAGCAAGGGCTGACCCACCTGCCTGCCCCTCTGTCCTGGGGTCTTGTCCATGCACAATGGTCTCATTGCCCCCCTCATTGTGGGACCCTCTCTTCCTCTACTCTTGTGTGATGCCTGCCTCCCTTTCCTGGGATCTTCTCTCCTCTGCTCGGCCCTGCCACCCCCACTCCACAGACACGTGCCCCTGAATTCCATCTGTGACACTCGAGCGGCCCAGGACTCCAACCTCATCTCCACACGCCTGGAGAACAACTTCATCGATAGGCGCCGCATCCCCCCCACCGCCTTTTCCTGCATCCGGGCCTACCACAGTGTGGTCCTCCAGCCCCAGCAGGGGGAGGGGGAAAGCTCCTAGGCCCCGCTACTGGGCTTCCCTACCCTCCCCCCTCTCCTTTGGGGCTGGTGAAGGGGGCTCAGGCCCAGGTCCACTTGATCTTTGCACCACTTCAAGAAAGATCTAGAACACCCTGATTCTTCCCATGGACTGCTGAGGCCCCTTCACTTAGTAACCAGCCTGGTGGGGTGCATTGCTGGTTCAGACTTGAATATAATAAATGCATCTTATTCAAGCCCATGGCCTCCACCAGCCTCCTCCCATCCACCCTCCCTCTTGGATCATAGCCACGTGCGTGTGCTGGATGTCCACTGTGTGTGGAGTCCCCAGAGCCCACATCCTGGACATTGCTTCATCAGCAGGGGGTTGAGAGTGACTGATTCTGGAAGCTTCTCCATAGAGCCTCCTCACCCTCACTCATCTGCCCTGGCCAGGGTCCTGAAGTCCCCAAGCCATCTGGGGGCCAGGCTGGACTCTGTTGCTCAGAGCAGCATCAGTGCCTGTCATCAACGAAGCATCCCTGTCGGGGGCAGAGGGGGCTGGGAGAGAGGAAGAGGTAGGCTTAGCTGGCAGAACAGGCTGATGTGGAAGCCCATGGTGCCCACCCTTTGTCCTGGAGCCACCCACATCCACCACTGCACCCAGGCCAGGGACACCTTGCTTCTCCCTCTTCCCCTGTTCAAGGTCCCGGGGCCCTCCTCCTGGTTCCCCCATCCCAGGCACATACCCATTCCCCAAGCTAGCCAGTGGGTCCCCGGCTCCCCCAGCCCCCACAGCCCTCAGGGGCAGGCTCAGGTGTCCAAGGCTGTGGGATCCAGATGTCCCCAGTGCAACCTGGTGCCAGGGAAGGGTGGGGAGTGGCATGGGCTCAACAACTCTTGGGAAAGGAGCTCTTGGTCTCTGGGAGGTCAGGCCTGGCCCTGGGGATCCAGCAGCCACTGTCCCCTGGCCAAAGTTGCTGACTTGTCTGCCTGGTGGAGGAGGCAGACGCAGATGCGGGCCAGCTGTGGTGGTGAGCCCTGCTGAGCCCTGAGGACAGGACTGGCCAGCTGTGCTGGGTGGGGACACGGGATCTGTGAAGCCCCATGAGGTCACTGGAACAGTTGCCCTGCCCATGCGAGGGGAGCCACCAGGACTAGGGTGGGGTCACTGGGTCAGCCTTGACAGCTCATGATGCCACCATGCCTGGTGCTGAGAAGGACGGAGGGGAAAGGAGGAGGCAGGCAGGTGATAGGCATCAAGGATGCAGTAGGAGCAGGACCGGCCCCAGCCTTCAGCGCTGCTGGCTGTGTGGGGAGCGAAGCAGGAAGGACACCAAGTCCCCACTGCAGTGACTTTGCCCTGCCACCGCCTCTCACTGTAGTCTGGGCCTGGGAACTGTGAGCCTGACATCGGTCCCATTCTGTAGCCACCCACCCCCACCCGCGCCCTCCCCCTCCCCCAGTTCTCAACAGAGAAAAAGCCAGACTCTGGCAGGGGGCGGGGCGAGGCCTGGGAAGCTGGTGGAGTGTTTGCTTTGGACTCATCCCTGCATTCCTTCTCCAACCCGGCCTAGGCCCACAGATATGGCACTTCCTGTTTGGGCTGGGTCAGAGGTCAGCAGCCCTTGAGGCGCTGGCCCTGATGGGGAAGGCTGCTACTTTCCCAGCTCTCATGACCCCTTCTCCCCACCCCTCCTGTTCCAGCTACCCCCCAGCTGCCTCCTTCCCCACAGACAGAGGTCAGGCCCTGGGAGCACAGGAACTTGGGACTGGGTGAACCCCCCACTTCCCTACCGCTCTTTCCTCCCCTGAGCGGATGAGGTCCAAGGACCAGGAGGAGAAGGGCAGGGTAACATGGCTGCCATGTAGGAGTAAGGGCAGAGGAGGGCAGGGCATGGAGGAACAGGCCGCCCGCAGGTAGTGGCCAGGTTAATTCCACTCCCAGACAGGAAGCTGCTAGACCCTCGGGGCTGCTGGCAGGTGGGCCAAACCCAGGCCCAGAAGCGAATCCTTGGGTGGCCCTCCTGAAGGGAGCGGGGACCAGGCAGCTGGGATAGCAGAGCCTCCTGGGAAACCAACTGCTGAGGGGAGGATTAGCCTACAGGGAGTTTACTTGGAGGCTCTTGGGCTACCACCTCGGAAGGGGAGGACAGGAGCAGGAGTGGCCCAGGGAGAAGCTGGCCTGCAGCCAATGATACAGCCCAGCCATGCCCCTCGAGTGCTCCGACCCTGAGCTGGTCCTGAGTTGGGGCAAGGGGACCGGGTCTTTCTATCCCCCTGTCATCAGTAGGTGGGGCTGCCCAGCAAAGGGGACATGACTGGGGTGAGGGCTCTCTCCAGCCCTGACAATTCCCCCAGAGGGCCAGGAGCTCAGGACTAGGGGTGCCAGTAGCTGGGGCCAGGGAGGTGGCAGTAGCAGCACGGTGTGCCCCCGGTGAGAGGGGATAGTCAGCAATCCAGCCAGGGAGGATGAAGGAGTGCAGTGCTATGGACATCTGGTGGTAGGACCGAGCCTGCCTGTCACCTGGTGCCCGCCTCCTCTCCAACCATGCGCCAACCCCCATCCTCTGCTCATGCATGCCTGCACGGGGCTGGGTACTGTGTCCCTGTTCAGGGCAGGTGCTGGCTCCATTGGTGGGGCTCTGGGGGGACACTGGTAACTGTGATGGTGACTACAGAGTAGGAGAGACTGGGGTCAGGTGGCATGGCAAGTAGGGAGGCACTCATCGGCGGCCCCTGGATTGAGACAAGGGTAGGAGGGGGTGGGGGTGGGGCAGTGGGGACTGGGAGGGGAACACAACATAACAAATGTGAGGGGCGACAATGAGGACAGGAAGAAGTGTTGCATTCTTTGGGGCCAGACTGATGTCTCCTCTCAGGGACCTTGATGGAAACTTGCACATCTTGCCCTAGCTGGTTTGGCTCAGTGGATAGAGCATTGGCCCGTGGCTTGAAGGCCCCAGGTTCAAATCCGGTCAAGGGCATGTGCCTCAGTTGCAGACGCGATCCTTGGCCCTGGTCAGGACACGTGCAGGAGGCAACCAATCAATCTGTCTCTCTCATATAGATGTTTCTCTCTCTATGTCTTTCCCCCTCCCTTCCACTCTCTCTAAAAATCAATAGGACAATATCCTTGGGTGAAGATTAACAACAAAAAAAACCTTGCATGTCTGAACCCCTACCCCCAGCCACAGACTCAGAGCCCTGCCCATCGACCTCCAAATTCTCCAACCCGCCTATTCCTCTCTGTCCCCAGTGCCCCGACTTGAGGGTCTACCTTCGCAGGTCTCCCTGCCTAGCCTCCTGCACATTTGGTTCCGTGCCTTCCTGCTGCCTCACACCCCACTTCGTGGCAAGCTTGGTTCCAGCTCCCAAATCCAGAGACACGGGCCCAGGAAGGAACATACGGAGCAGAGGGAGGCAAAGGATACATCTAAGGTCATATGCCCTGTGCCACGCCTCCCCCACCCTGGCGGCCACCCAGGGCCAGGCCAGGAGACACTAGCTGCAAGGCCCCCCTCCCCTTCCCCCCCCTCACCCACTGCCCTCACCTGAGCCCCCTAACCCTGCAGGCAGCTCGCAGATCTGAACACAGCTCCTAGGGGCTGGCCTGCCCCAGGGGAAGACCATGGGAGCCCCGGGGTGCCTCATGGCATCTGTGTCTCGCAGGTTTCTAAGGTGGTGAACAGATGGATGCCTCCCCGTGGCACAGTCCCTGTCCACCATCCCTCGTCTGGCCACACCCAGACTGTGCCTCTCTAAAGATAGCTAGTCGTAGGCCAGCCTGCACAGAGCCCCCTTCGGGCCCTGAAATTACAGCCCTGGCAGCCCTGGGCGGAGAGCCACTGTGTGATTATGTCCTCAGGGAAGGTCAAAAAAAGCTCTGGCATAGAGAGTGCCAGCTTTCACCGGCCACACCTCGGCCATCGGCACTGGGAAGCTTCCAGATCGTGGAGGCTCGGCCGCTCCACAACCACTCGGCTCCCCCTTGAGCATGTTAGCGTGAGCCTCTCAGGGAATGGTCCTAGTCCCCTTCACCCAGAGGGTCCCCTGAGCACAAGTTATACGTTTGGGGCTCCTGGATGTCCCAACTCTGGGCTCCAGGGACCCTGAGGTAGGAGCCTGCCTCCCTGGTGACTATGGGCCTGACCCTCCCTCTCCCCTGCCTGGCCCCTGAGAATGCAGAGATTGGGGGTGGATGAAGCCCGCCAGCTGTGAGTGAGGCCCACATAAGGCCATGAACTCAAGGACACAGGCTTGGGTTCAGGGGCTGCAGTGCCTGGGAGCCTTGAGGGCTCTCTCAGAGATCTCAGCGGAGTTCAGGGCAAGGCCTCTTGCTCAAGAAGTGACCTTGATGTGTGTGTGATGTGTTCCTGCTTGGGGATTTGTCCTGGAGGCTGGAGTGTAAGGGGACTCCCTTGGGCAAGACTCCTTGTGCTGGGCTGGCTTTGCCAGAGTCCTATGCGGACACTCCGGGGAGGGGCTGGGAGGCAGGAGAGCCGCCTCCTCCTAGAAGCCCTCCATGTGTCCCCTTCCCATGCCATCACCTAAACCTGCGCTGTTTCCTTCTGATCACTCACCACACTCAGTCACCATGTTGCTTCTAGTCCAGCAGCACGTGCACTCTCCGTGGAAGTCAAGGCTGATGGACTCAGTGCCCAAGGATGAGACAAAGAGGCAGAGGGGAGACCGAGAAAGCAGTGGGGAACCAGAAAGAACAGACAGGGGGAGCGATCTGCAGAGGCGGGAGTGAGCAGGGAGCCAGCCGGACCTAGCAGGGCCAGGAGGCCAGGAAGGCCCCAGAAGGGGGCTGGCAGAGAGCCCCTGGAGCTCCACGCTGGCGGCTCTGTCCAGGCCCCAGAGGCTCATGGGACCAGCAGCTGGGTGGGCTGGATTTCAGGGGGAACTCTCACTGCTGCCACCTCTTCAGAGGTCCCCCTTTGAGCCCCTGGGAGCCCCGCCCAGTGGGCAACCTCCCAGACTCCCAGGCTCTGCCCTGCAGACACTAGAACCAAGGGCCGGTTTTTGCTCCTACAGGGGACCAACGGCTTGAAACTGGCCCTCCGGGTGCCCTGCTTCTCTCCTGGGCCTCCCCTAGCTTTGAAGCCAGGGCACGAATAGCTTTAAGCCAGCTATTGGGGGACAGGCTGCAGCTGACCCCAGGCCCTTCTCCACACACAGGCCTATAGGGTGGCAATGGCCTTGGATTGCCCAGCTGCGCCCCCTGCCCTTTGCCCCCTCCTACCACCTCCCTATATTGACGCACCTGCCCTGCATTCTGGGGCCCCAGACTGGTACTAGGAAGTGGGTTGGGGTAGCAGTGACCCCACAAGGGCCACGTAAGAGCAGGCAGCCAGCAGTATGGCCTAGGGGTTTTCCCGAGAAGCCTGACCAGCCACTCAGCTCCTTCTCAGGTCAAGTTCTTGGCTCCTTCTGGCAGCAGGGCCTTCTATGAAGGCGCCTGCAGTGGGAGAGGGGAGGGGAATCTGGGCTGAGTGGCAAGCCGGTTCCAGCAGGATCACTCGGGCCTCTGAAGCCCTTTGGGGGAAGTGTCCAGGGTTTGGCTTTAAGGGGGCCTGTTTGGTGGTGTCCCAGAAGTGCAGGGCATGCTGGGAGAGGATCCTGGTCACCCTCAGGCTCATCCTGATGGGGGATGGGTTCTGCCTCCCCTCCACCCCAACCCCTTCTCAGGCGCCCACCAGGACCAGGCCAGCGCTGTCCGCCTCTCATTCTTCTGAAGCTCAGACAGCTGTGCCCCGGCCTCCTCCAGAGCCTGGGGCCTCAGGAAATGCCTTCTCTTCCTTCCTGCCTTGCGCCCCCCCAGGCCTGCCCTCCCCTGCCTCCTGCTGCCTCCTCCCAGCCCTGTCCTCTGGCCTCCCACCAGACGGCAAGGACATGCTGTTCCCAGTGGGCATCAGCTAGGGTCCAAGTTGTTCCTTTGTTGCAGAGAGAGCTGAGGCCCAGAGAGGAGGAGGGAGAGGGGGAGGGGATCCCAGGACTTAGGTGCTGCCTGGCTGGTCTGGGAGTGGCCCCCAAATTAGAGGGCCAGGCCCAGTGACTCAGTGGGCCTGGGGCCGGGTGTGCAGTCACGGCTTATTGCAGACTGCAAACCACAGACACGAGAGCCTTCCAGGCACAGGAACCGTATGTACAGAAATCTTGCCCTGGATGCACCCCCCAACTACGGGGAAGATCTCCAAGGTGCATCTGTGCCCCTTGCAGGGTGCCACCCCACGCTCCCTCCAGGAAGATGCCAGGCTGTGCAGGGGAGATGGAGGCTGGCCCACCACTAGGTCTGACCACCTAATTCCAGTGACATTCTCCCCGCTGCTCCCCACACCCTCTGCACCTTGCTGTGTGCGCTTCCTTCTGCCACCAACAAGTCCCTCTTCACTATTCCTCTGGCGCTGTGCGCAGCCCTAGTGTCCCAGCCTCCAGAGCAGGGCAGGGTGCAGCAGAGGGTGGTTGTGGGCACAAGGCCAGGTGAGACTCCTTGGGCAATGGGCATGCCTTACATGGGTTTCTTTCATTTCTTAAACAGCTCTATTTTTTCAAATATATTTTTATTGATTTCAGAGAGGAAGGGAGAGGGAGAGAGGGATAGAAACATCAATGATGAGAGAGAGTCATTGATCAGCTGCCTCCTGCATGCCTCCCACTGGGGATCGAGCCCGCAACCCGGGCATGTGCCCTGACCGGGAATTGAACCATGACCTCCTGATTCAGAGGTCGACGCTCAACCACTGAGCCACGCCAGCTTGGCTTAAACAGCTTTATGGAGATGCAATTGACATGCCATACAGTTCACCTATTTTAAGTGTACAAATCAAGAGTTTTTAGTATAGTCACGGAGTGTACAATGTCACCACAGTCCATTTTAGAACATTTTTATCATCTCAAAAAGAAAACTCATGCCTTTAGCCGTCACCCCTCCATCCCGCATTCCCCAGGCCCTAAGAGACCACTCATCTACTTTCTGTCCCTATACGTGCGCCCATTCTGAATGTTTCCAGGGGAATCATACAATTGGTGGTCTTTCGCGCCAGGCTACTTTCATGGCGCACAATGTTCTCTGTGTGTTTTGGACCCTCTCTCTCCTCCGAAAGGCCATGACTGGGGATGCTGGCGCTTGGTGAGGCCGCATGGGCCTCGCGATATTAGTCTTTCTACTGCCAGAGATGTTGGAATACGTCTCCAATAAACAGGAAAAACCACAAGCAAACAAGCAGACAAACTGACTCCCCTTGTCTGGAAAGACATGAGTTCTTTCCAGTCTCCTAGTTCAGACCTTTTGCGTCGGCATTGCCCCCCCAAAAGAAGAAGGAGCCAGAGCTCCCGACCCGGACCCTGCTTGGCCCATGTCACCCTTCTCTGTGACTCAGCCTGGAAGCTCCTTGCAGGCAGGCGCCACAGCTCGGTCAGGCCACCTTTTGTTCCAAGTCCCCTGAACTGATATTGGTGCAAGAAAGGGGGCCTTGCCCGGCCAGCATGGCTCAGTGGTTGAATGTCCATTTATGAACCAGGAGGTCACGGTTCAGTTCCCGTTCAGGGCACCTGCCCGGGTTGCAGGCTCAATCCCCAGTGTGGGGCATGCAGGAGGCACCCGATCAATGACTCTCTCTCATCATTGATGTTTCTATCTCTCTCTCCCTCTCCCTTCCTCTCTGAAATCAATAAATTTATATATTAAAAGGGTGGGAGGAGAGCCCTTGGACCCAGCCATTCTTCCAGGCAGAACCTTCTAGACCCCACTTGCATGCCAGCCCTGGGCTGAGCACTGAATAACTGAATGACAGCTGGCGGGACCCTCAGACCTCATCCCTGTTCTCCATCCATTGGACCCATTTCTCTTCGGCCTCCCCTCAGCCTCCACCTGCTGAGTTTTTCCTCTCTATACACTATTCTCTTTCGGTTTCTTTGGAATTCTGTCCTGTCTTGTGTCACCTGCCTTAGCATCTTCCTCTCTCAGCCCCCTAGTCTCCTGTGCAGATCTCAGCATCACTGCCTACCTCGGTTTATTTATTTATTATTTTGATTTTATTTTATTGGTTTCAGAGAGGAAGGGAGGGGGAGAGAGAAATAGAAGCATTAATGATGAAAGAGGATCATGGATCGGCTATCTCCTGCACGCCCCACACTAGGGATTGAGCCCACCACCCAGGCTTGTGCCCTGACCGGGAATCAAACAGTGACCTCCTGGTTCATGGGTCGGCGCTTAACCACTGAGCCACGCCGGCTGGGCCTACCTTGGTTTCTCACTCCCTCTCAACTCTCACCTTTGTCTCTCAGAAGCTGCTCCTGCAAGAGTCTCCCTCCTGCAGTGTCAGCCCATGAAAGAGGCTGGCTCTGGCCTGGCCCCGCTGCATGCTGGGTACATGGGCCAGGGGAGGAATGGGACCCCGTGGACAGGGAGGCCTG